TTTTTTCCCTCCTGCTGTGGGCTGTGCTCAGAGCTGGACCCAGTCACTGGACTCTTAATCTGCTCTTTGAGGACTCTGAGGTACACCAGATGCCAGGTGATGCTGGGTTTTGCTCATGGGCACTTGGCCTCCTTGCAAGCAGTGCTGAGGTAGAAGTGCTGCGGAATGTACCTTTGGGCTCTCAGTCTGCAGATCCTTTCAGAAAGCAGTGGTTAGGGCAGTGTGGTGTTTTCTGATGGCTTGCAGCAGCTCTCACTAGCTCTTCTGTTTTGGGTACATCCTTGTTGAATGTGCAGAGGTTGGCACCATCCACCTTGGAGATGGGACAGCTCTAGCACAGGTCCCCCAGGCCATGCTCTCCTCCCATGTTCAGCTCTCACTGTTTATATTTGATGGCTGCTTTCCCTCAGAGCTCCAAGGACTGGCTCTGTGCTGGCTCTTGAGCAACCTTTAGACTGGATTTTGGGCTTTTGCACAGGACTCTCCATCTTGTTTCTGTTCCCCTGAGCTCTGGGACTATCCTGGGGGAAAAGACAACAAAGCCCAGCAGTGTTTGAAGGAGGAGGTGCTGTTCCTGCCAGGCTAAGATACAAAAACAGAGGGCATGGAGCACATCATGCTCAGCAGGCTGGGTCCTTCCATCCATCCTGCTCAGCTGCAAGGATGTGAGCTTTGCTCAGGTGGAGCAGCCCTGCCTTCTGCTGCCCTGTCCCACTGCTGCCTTAGAGCTGCAGTTTTAGAGAGAGCAATGTTGCTGTGGCTGGTGAAACTGGGCTGAGCTAAACACAGCATGGTGCCCAAAAAGGAAAATTGCTACTTGACTTTTTCACCCTAGAACATGATTTCTGGGATTAGCTAGAATAGGAGAAAAGCACTAATAGTCTAATCTCTGATTTTTGTATCCCGGGCCCTGCCTTTGTCCTCCTCAAACCCAGTAGCTCTGATCCCTGTGTTTTCAGCCCAAGCAAACCCTCTCAGACTCTTCTGGAAAGTAGGAGGGGCTGCAGTTGTCAAATACACTTGGTTTTATCTCATTCAGAACAATGGATGGGAGATAAAATAGTGAGAACGATTCAACATGGGGAAAATAAATTTCTCAATTGAAATAAAACAGTTTGCGTTTGTGACTTTCTCTAGTGGAAATAAACTGCTTAAGTCTTCCCAGAGGTAGCTGCCACCATGTCGTTACCTGCCACGGGATTTTCCTGCCATTCTGTAACAATCTGCTGATTTCTGCCAGAATCAGCCAGGCATGTCAATGAGGAAGTAAGGCAGATCAGCTTGGTGCACCTCAGCATGAGTTAACTCTGCTGTTGCTATTTATAAAGGGAAAAAAGTCCCTTGTTTAGTCCATATTCTAACAGAAAGGCCAAGCTGCGATGTACCGGCTGCAAGCAGCACCTAACAGCTTCCTCTGAGCTCCTGCAAGAGGCAGCTGCTTTTCGGCTGCGCTCTGCAGGTGCGTGGCAGCTTTTCTGCCGCGCTGCCCCACGCTCCCGCTGAGATGCTGCGCTGCCTGCTCTCCTCTCAGCTGCTCCCCAGCTCGCCCTGAGCTCCCCTGTCCCCAGCGAGTGCTGTGTGCCCCTGTCCTGGCCCCTGCACTGAAAGAGAAGGCGGGGTGGTGCCATTAAAATGAGCCGTGATCCCGCAGCCCCAAATCTGAGACGGGGCCACTCCAAGGGTGCCTGAGGCTCCAGGCTGACACTGCTGCCTCCGGCCAGCGGCTGCCCGTGGTGACTCTGGAGATGTGGCTGCTGCTCTCTTGTCTCCTCTGCAGCTCTTTGACAGGGCTGCTAGAAGTGGCTGTAGCTGGTTAGCTGCTGGAGCTGCCCCGTCACTGTGGTTACACCACCCGAAGCTCCTGTCCCCTCTGACAATCCCTGACTGGGGGCTGCTCACAGCAGTTCCTCACGCAGCAGGTTTGAGCTGTCTGGGCTGTGAACGGGGTGTGATGGAGCCTTGGGGTGTGATGGGTGACCGTGATTGAGGGAGAGGTTTCAGCTCATGACTGCACCGTTAGGGCATTCCCATGGAGCTTGAGGAAACGTGCCCTTTGTCAGCAGCCATGTGAGGGGAAAAATGGCTTTTCCCTGTGTCCTGCTGGGGCAGCAGCAGGGGTGGGCAGGGAGCTGGGAGAGTGAGGAGCCCTGAGCACAGAGAGCAACAGGGAACTCGAGCCGTGAGCAAGAAACACAGGCTCCTTTTAGACAAGGCTGTAGGCTCAGTTTCGCCAGTGCTTAAAGGAGCTTTGTTCTCTGTGCTGGTCAGAGGCTGATTTCCCAGTATCTTAAACAGAAATCTTGTTTTAGCCTTGAGAAAAAAAAGCTTTTTAATTTATAAAGGCATGGCATTTTTCTTTTCCCTCCTCTGCCTCCCCACAATGGCTGGTATTGCTTGGACAATGCTGCTCTTTGCTGCATTGTCCAAGGGGGTTCTGCTCTTGAGCTTGTGTTTCTTGATCACTGCTGAAAACAGAGCTTGTCACAATTGCATTTTTCTCTGGAACCTGCAGTAAAACACCAGCTATTCTTCACCTCCCACACTGTGATCACACTTCCTGGTGCCTGTGAGCAGAGAAATGCTGATGAAAGTACCAGCCTCCCTTGTCTCTATGAAAAAGCCACCCTGAGCCCCAGCATGGCACCTTGAGAGGGCAACAAGGCTTTGGCCATGGGGAGCAGATGCTGGTGCCATGCAGGGCTCCAGACACAGCTCCTGGGTGATTAGTGAAGGACAGGCTGTTGCATTACTATCTCTTTTTCTTGAAAATGTCCCCTTTCACCTCACATGTTCAAAGCCTGCCCCATTAACCCTTTTCACCTGCCAGCTCCTGTTAGCTGCAGTGGGACGTGGAGGGGATGGCATCTCCTGCAGGCCCAGCAGGGACCCCGCCTGCCCATTTTCTTGCTCACACAGGTAAAGAAGGCTTAAATTGCCTCCTGAGGAAGAATCAGCAGGCAGGCAGGCTCAGGAGATGAGGACCTAAGGCATGGGAGAGTGTCCTGGTCACCAAGTCATACTTTCCTGGTGCTGTCATCTATGCCAAGGGGCTGCTGTAAGGCAAGAAGACCCTTGCTGTGTGCTCAGAGACAAGGTAGGAAGGATGGTGAGGCTGATCTTGCACAAAGGGGAAATTTGGCTTGTCTCCTTGCATGTTTTTAATGGCAGTAAAAAGAAGACAAATCTGGGAGGTTCCTCAGTATGGAAGCTTGGGGCATCAGCATCTCCCTGAATGCTGGTCCTCATTGTTCCCTCCATGGGAAGCACAGTTTGCACTCCCCTCCAGGCCCTCCTCCTCACCAGCGTGGGCCCCAATGGCCTCTCCATCCCAGTTTTCCTTCCAGCCAGGTTGATGTCATGTTCCAGCACGGTGTTGAAATGAAAGAAAAATGCTCATGCTAAGAGAGTTTCTGTGCTTTATGTACAATCAGTAGTGCTGCTAATCACTTCTGAAATTTTCTGTTCTTTTGTGCTCAAAGCCATCATTAAAGCTTCATGAGAAATTAGTCATTCTTTGTAACTTGCGGCTGGTCCAGGTTTCGCCTTTGGGATTGATTTTGTGAGCAGTCTGAGCCATCCTCACCAAAATGGGTTGATTCAACGCAGCCACTTCCTCTTCGAGCCACATTTCACTAAAACAGTTTGGACTGTTTTTTTCCCCTACCTTACTGTATCAACTATTGCATCTTTAGGATTAATACCAGCTTTCCTACACGAGGTAAAACCACGGAATGGCTGTGATGAGCTTTCTCTCTGTGGCATAGAGAAGCTGTCATTTTCTCCGCCTGTCGCAGGCAGGGCAATGGGCAGCACGGCCTCTCCTCAGGCACCAGCAGCTGATTCACAGCCCCGAGCTAGCAGAGAACGAGGCCGCAGCACTGCGAGCATGAGGCAGGTGAACTCTACATGGCAAACGCAGCGAGAGAAAACGCTCAGCTGCCGCGGGGAGCCAGGCCCTGCGCGGCTTTCCTCCCCCGGCCCGACCCCCGGTGCTGAATTTCCCTTCCCGCCACGCTACACAGGTGTCGAAGCCCCACACGGAGCCGAGGTAACTCGTGCCGAGGGCTCTGATATTTCCAGAGAGTAAAACAAACCCGTCTCGGTTCTTCGGCGGCCGGCGGTACCCGCGGTGCCTGAGGGGATCCCCGGGCTGGAGCCGAGCTGCCGGGCCGGGAGCGCCGGGACAAGCCTGCCCTTTCCTCGGGGCCAGGGAGGCATCGCAGCCCCAGGCTGGGCCCAGGCCCTTGGCTCTGCCCGTGCAGCAGCGGAGGAGGAGCGGCCGCAGAACGGGGATTTTGGGGGGTTTTGGGGGGTTTTGGGGGGTTTTGGGCACCACCCCGAGGGTCCCTCGCGCCCCCTCTCCCCCCCGCCCCCCCGCGCTGAGGGCGCGTGAGCCGGCGGCGGGCGGCGATTGGCTGCGAGGCGCCCCCCGGGGGCCGCCGGGCCGCGGCCGCGCGCCGAGCGCCATTCACGGCGCTGCCCGCCCGCACGCGCCGAGCCCATTCACAAAAAACTTCATTCATAAAAGCGGCTGCGGCGGGGGCGGCCCGGGCGCTGCGGAGCTGCTGCCCCGCGGCGCTGCGGGAAACGGCCCCGGAGCCGCAGGAATATTCCGTTGTTTCGGGATTATTATGGTGCTGAAGGACTTTCCAGGAGGAATTAGCGAGACCGACGCTACTCAGTGTTTTTCGAAAGAATCGTGGGTTTGTGCCTGACGGCGGGGCAGGAGCTGCAGCGCAGGGATGCTCTTCGCCTCTGGGGCAGCGGCGGTGGAAGTGCAGAGAGCCGGGCACCTTACGGGGTTCATGCCGGTCTGAAAATACGTTTGGGCTTGTAGCTGTCTTGCTCTGCTTTGTGTGGAATATGCTTGAGCTTTCGCTGCAGCCAGGACTCTGCAATTATTGATGCTACAGCTGTGAATCTTCAGAGCTAGGTGGGATTTAGTGCCTGGCTTGAGGCAGCAATGAAGGCAGGTTTGGATAGTGGCTCTTCATCTTTCCTGTATGCTGCTTTTATTTCTGCTTACAAAATGCCAGATGTCCATGCAGTTTTAAGCCTTGATCTTTGAGGAAAATAAACCATTCAAGAGGGAGTCAGCAAAAATATCCAGTAGGTTTCTGTTTTGAAAATTGACTTGCTTGATTTCCATATAATTTATCTACAAGAGCTAATTTATGCAAGAATATCCAGTTACAGACCTGCCAAGGCTATGAGAGAACGCAGCCAGCAGAGCCTCGGTGGACACGTCCTGTATGTAGGGTTATTCAGACATCCAGGAATGCTGCACAGGTCTAAGTACAGCCGGTTCAGGAATGATTCCATAACCTCCCTAGATGAAGGTACACAAAATACGTCTTTAAATATCAAAGGTTCTTCCTCCTCTTCCCATTCTTCAACACCCACTTTACTGACAGAAGATGTCTCCTTGGGGCCACAGGACACCTGCACCACGCTGTGCACGCTGATCCCCCGGATGGCCAACATTAAACTTGCCAACCCGTCAAATCTGCCGGGCCTGAAAAGCTTCTGCCTGGGAACCAAAGAGGTGCCACGAATTAAACTCACGGAGTGCGTTACCATCCCGAGCAGCCCAGCCTCGCCTGAGATCAGCTGCCTGTCGGCCTCGTACCCCCAGCCCGAGCTGGACAAACTGTTCCCAGTGCCAAAGGCAGCGGGGGACTGCGCTGAGGAGGCCGCTGCTGTGGGCAGGCAGGACAGGGGCCTGGCCCAGAGCAGTGACAGCACGTACAGCCAGGAGCCAGGAACCACCTACAGCGTGCGGGTGAGTACTTCTCCATGGGCTTCCATTCTCTGACAAAGCAAACTGCTCAGCTGGCTGCTGGGTGACCTCCATTTTCCTGCCTCTAGAGTCCATGCCCCAAACCAATGAGTTCTCCCATGTATTTCCTATCTTCTGGTGTACATAGGGCTGTGGCATTGCGCTGAGGGAGCTAAAAGCACCCCAGCTGCTTCCAGAGGTAACACAACATCCAATTCCAAAGGACTGTCTGTAGACTCTCTGAGGAGTGCTGCTGAGCTGCAGCTAAAACGGGTTACTCTGCATGTTGGAGGGAAAAGGAGGCCCATGAAAGGGCCTCCCATCCCTCGCAGAGAGCGGCTCCAGGCATTAGGTGCGTTCTGGCCCATGCTGCTGACATATTTGTCAGGGAGGCTGTGGGGCAGGTGTTGCCCATGTTGTATTTCTAGTACGGTTTTCTGCTGGTCTTCCTTTTGTGGGCAATATCTCAGAAGGGGTTCACTGGCAGGAGTACCACAATGCAACAAGGAGATGTTTTTTCCCTTCATCTTCCTGGATATGTTTCTCCTATGGCTGTGGGCCTGCAGGAACCAGCCCAAGGAGAGCTGCAAGAACATTGTGGACATGTCCCAGCCAAAATCTTGGTGGTTTTTTCAACTAGCCCTTTCAATAGCAGCAGCAAATTGGTAAATAAGTAACATGGGGGTCCGGGTGTTTCAGCATCAGAGGATGTGCAAGGTGAGAGCAGGAGCCAGGTACTCATTTCCCCAGAGACCAACAGGCTTCTTCAGGATTTGGTGATGAAGCCTCAGAAGGGCTGGGAAGTGGCCAGGGCTGCAGCATGGCAGGATCACGGTGCAGAGGGATGGTCTCACCTGAAGGCAAAGCGGGGCCAAGAGACCAAGGGCTGGGCGAGCTGCTTCCAATCCTTACCCTCTAGCCCTGGCCCTTGCCCTCCCTCCTGTGTGTCTGGAGGCACTCACTCTCCCCATGCAGCTTCTTGTGCCCTGTTGGGGTATGGGATTACTGGGATCTCCACAGAGACCCTATTAGGAGGCAGGTCAGGTCTACGTTATTGGGACTGCTGCTGCCAGAGATCTTTGGCCTTAGCAGCTTAATCAGAGTATGAGGAGGATTCAGCAATTACATGGAGAGGATCTACAGTAATGAGGTGAATCAAAGAAATGTCGTAGGGCAGAAGCTGTCCCCTGCAGACTGGACTGAGGCAGGAAATTTCTTGGTGTTATTTTAAAAAGGGGCCATGCTGGGCCCATTGCATCCCCTGGGGAGGCAGCTGTGGCTGGGCTTGACTGGTGGTGGCAGGGCACCTGTGTCACAGCCACGTGTCACCCGGGCCTGCTGAGGAAGCTGAGACCCATAATAGCACCTGGTCCCCCAAAATGCTCCCAAAGGGCAAGTAACAAAGAGCCCAAATACTAATATTTTAAGAGAAGCCTGGACAACTCATGCTGTTGTGTTTCAAAACATACTTTGTATGCAGATTGCTGCAGCCTTTACAAGGTGGATATTTACCATGTCCTTGTTCTACCCGTTAAAAACCTTCTACCCATTAAAAACATTCTCCCTGTTAAAAACCTTCCCACAATGCTGCCCATCTGGAGCTGAGCTTGTCTCTGAATAGTACCCATAGTGGTCATGGCACTTATCTTTCCTGCTGGTGTTTGTTATGGCTGTGATGAGCCTGAGGAATATTCCAAGAGGCACTTGCTATCCTCTCTTGCTTGTTGGGGAGTGCCAGGGAAGTGGCTGCTGCTGAGAAGGAGGATAAGATCTGTCTCTCAGCACTGTCCTGCATCAGTGGTTTCTCTGAGAACAGCAAGGATGATGTTTACTGGATCTAACATGGAGTAAGGCTCTGTACCTGAGCTTAAATCAAAGCATGAGTCTTTGAAAGATGATTGGTTTTAAAAAAATATTTAACTAAAATATGAAAAGGAAATACTATTGCCAGATACTTTAAAATAATATGGTAAGGGTTGTTTGCAGCATCCTGTGTCTTAAAGGGCTTTTAGCAATGTACAGGTTGATCCTCTGCTACTGGTTTGACGGTTGAATGCATACAGATATGAATGATATGCCATTCATATATGTCTAAAATCAGTCACATGTCTCTAGATTAAAAGGACCCTGACCATTTCCAGCATGGTAGTTCAGAGTTACGTGAACTGCACCCTGAAAGCACACGTGGGCACCAGTGCCCTGCACAGTGTCCCTGGAGGATGTGACAGGTCAGCCCGGAGCAGTTGCTCCTTGCCTCTGTGCGGGGAAGGGGGTCCAGCACAGCCCTTTCCTGGTCCTAGGTTGCCACCAGCGGCTCTTCCATGTTCAGGGCAGGGAAATATTGTGGTATTTCAGCTGCAGCCACTTCCGTGGCGCGCAGCACCCTGCCCCTGCCCCCGGAGAGCTGCTGTGCATGGCCGTGGTGGATAAATGACTACACGCGTGTGCAGGGCCGGGCTCTCGCAGGAAGGAGACGGGCTCCGGTGATTCACGGCTTCGGAGCCGCAGCTGTGAATCATGAGCCGGGGGTGCCGGGGCGGTGCTGCCTGTGCCGGGCTCGGGTTTGGGGTTTGGGGTTTGGGGAGCCCTGAATCCTCGTCCCACGGGAATGCGGCCCGGCACCGCCTGCGGGGCACTCGCCTCTCCGGGAATCGATCCCTCAGGAACCTGCGTGTGTTCAGGCTGTTTGCTTTATCACAGCCGGAGAACAGGGACAGGGTGGGTTGGAACGATTCTGTTAGAGACCTGGCTTCAGTGCAGTGCTGCAGAAAGTGTTTTTTTCAGAAAACAAAACTAAAATATTTCTATATGTCTGTATTTATGATTTTTCCCTGGGGCTTCCCCCCCCATCCCCGGATATATTTAAAAATTGAAAACCTGTGAATGAAAGGGTCAGACTTTCCCAGAAAAATTTTCATTTATCAAAAGCTGTTCTTCACAAAAAGCCCTGGCTTGCTGCCCTCAGGGAAGAGGCTGTGCTGCGTGGGCATGAGGAGCGGAACAGACCAAGGGCCTGTCTGTCTGTCTGTCTGCCTGCACCGCTGCTGCTGCGGGGGGGAGATGAGAGCAGGGCAAGAACATGAGGAGAGTTAGGCTAGCACTGACAAACTACTGGGAGGGTGTGGGTTTGTGCTTAATGGTCTTTAATGGGCTCTCTTAATCCTTGAAGGTAGCTAGTTGTTTTCCAGCTGGTTCTGCCTGGATTTTGTGCTGTCTCACAGGTGCCCTGGGGCTACCACCCACATCTGCAGTGGTGTGCACTGCTGCTGTGGGCTGCCTTGGCCTCTCTGCTTCCTGTGCTGGGGATGGCAGAGGTTCTGCTGGCTTTGCTTTAGGGTCTGGATGGGGTTGGTGTTTGCTGGAGGAAACCAGTGTGGTTCAGGCTGAGGAATGAGCCAATTGAATGTCTGGCAGGGCGCAAACCTGGGCCAAAGATCTTCATTAGCTGCCTGACTAGTGGCTGCTTACAGAGTTACAGAGCACTCACCCCAGCCCAGTAAGCCCTGCTGTGTGAGGCAGGATGAGCAGCTGAGCTGACTGGCACAGTGCAGTCTGTGTGCTGGCAGGAGCAGTGCCACTGCCAGGGGAGCTCTGGTGGTCCCTACTTTCCAGTGGACACAGCGACTTTCTCAGCCCAAGGCTACCACAGGCAGCATCTAAGGAAGGGCTGAGAAAACTTCCCTACAAAAACTACAGCAATCATGCTTTGCTACTTCCCCACATCCCTGGCTGGCTTCTGGTGTTGTGCATGGAGGGAAGACAGCACTTTACCTTCCTGCTAGTGTGAAAGCAGAGAAATCTCACAACAGGTTCCTGAGCCTGGCACTTTGCATTGTCCTGCCATGTGCTGCTTATTCACACGGACCCTGCCTGGTGCCTTCTCATCTCCTCCCCTCATCCTGTTTGCAGTCACTTTCTGTCATCTCACATAAATAGATGTGAAAAGGTGTGTGCATCTTCAATAACTGCTGTTCTCTCCTGGTGGTGTGGGGAAACGCAAGCCAGCCCCAGATCACCCTGTGTGCTCAAACACCAAGGGACAAAGCAGTCCCAGGTGCCAGTGCTCTCACAGCCCTTTGCAGGCAGATGGGATATCTCTGCACATTTTGCCATTAGTGGGGCCGTTCCCTTTCCAGCAGGGGCCAGTGAGTATTTCCTTTCCTTCCCTTCCTAAGAGCTGCTGCTTGTCTTGGCAAGAGCTCTCCATCCTGCTGCTGACAGAACAGTGGGTTCAGCATCCTCTTTCATTAGTGATGTCAGGTCTTCAGCACTTGGCTTGTTTCACTGTTGCTGTTCTATTTTTCTATAGGTAGCTGAATTCTGCAGTTACATCTGTGCTTGTTGCCCCAGGCTGGTTAGTGCACCCTTGGGCCTGTGTCCAGCTTCCCCCAGCTTGCCTAGCAGCTCAGTGAACTGGGTCTTGCCCCTCTCTGTGGGCTTCAGAAGATGAACACCCCTCCCTGTACACCACCTTTGGACCCGGTTTTCACAAAAGCACCTGGTGAATAGCTTGCACTGGAGCAAGAGCTGTGGGCTGCTGTGGCTTCCACTCCCAGGCACCTGTGGTTGCTGCCCTGCTCATGTTTTCTTTAACCTTCCCTGCAGCAGGAAAGATGGAGCTGGCCTTGACCCTGCATCACCAGAGAAGCCCATTTATGTTTTCCTGGCATGTGCTGTTCGGGGTGGACAGGGTGGGGAGTGGGGGCATCACCTGAACTGGAGTTTGGGTGCAGAAGTCTCTGAGACAAACATTATTCTTCTCTTATGCCTTCCCCTTCCTGTCATGCGTTGGTTGTGCTGCTTTTCATATTTTGCTATGGAAGGGTTAATATTTTTGTTTATTGTTAATTTTTTTCCTCCTTGGAGAGCATCTTTTGTTTTCTTGAATAGGCTTCTGGTATCCCATTGTCCTTTTGTGTGCTCCATAAGCTTCTCCCCGGCTCTGTGACCCTGACTTGCTCTGCCCCAGCCCCACATTGTCCCCCTGCCCAAGGCTCTGCTGGTTCTCTGTGCCCTCGTACTGCGATGTGAAGGTTCAGCCATTTCCAGCTGTGCCAGTTCAGATAACCAATGACAGCTAAAATAAATGAGAGATGCAGTGAGGTGCCATGTTAATGCACTTCCCTACTCAGGCTTTTATAAGGAAAAAAAAAAAAAAGGTCTTTTGTGAATCATTGATAAGTTCAGCTTCACTCAGGGTCACTTATGCAAAAACCTAATATTGATTTTTCATCTTTGCTTAGAGTAGCTTCCCACGCATCTGTTCAGGATGCAATGGGGACTCACTTGTCAGCATATGACTCACCTACTTCTCTAAATTTTTCTTTTTTCAAGGATAGAGGAGCAGCCAACCAGCTTACAGGATGCTTGACCTTATACTGTAGGATCAGAGGTCGTTGCTGTGCTACAAGCTGGGGCTCTAGACATATTTTCCACATTTGTTTTGTTCCTGTTAAGCAGGAATATCTTTAACAAGGCAGCTAGCTCTCAAAGTCATTAAATGTTCATTAGGGAAGCAGTTCTGCCAACCTTTCAGATTCTTATTGATGTCCTTCCAGGTCTCTGACCTAATTCTGGAGTTCTCCCAAGGGTTACATTGCTATCTGTAAAAAAAGCAAAATAGGGATAATACAACAATTGTTGTGGAATCCCTGACTGCACATATAACATTCTCTTTTTCACACACTTATTTCTGAAAGTCTCCAAAGCTGAAACAGATACCTAAATCCAACCCTCTCTGAATGGCCCAGCAGAAAAATTGATTTACAGGCAAAGTGAGGCAGAGGAACTAAATATGGTACCTCTCTCTGACACAGAATGCCTCCTCCATCCATTCAGATAAGGGACAGGGTATGCCTGACCCTGCCTGGGTTTTCCAAGTTGTCTCTGTGTCCCAGAGGCTTTGACTTCCTGCAGGAGAGGTCTGCACAGGCATGCTGTGACTGCAGCCCTTGGGCACTGTGTGAGCACTGCAGGATGGTCCCAAGAGGAAAAATGAGAGAGCCAGACCTGTGCCAGCCTGTTGAAATGAAGAGATCAGACTGCTTCAACAACAGAGAGATTGACATCCATAGAAATGCTGAAGGATTAGTAAGATATGGTTGAGGATATTCCATCACATCCTTGATATTTCTGAGAATTAGTATTATACAAATCCCAAATGAGTATAGAAAAAGCCTCAGCTCTGTCCCATACAACAGAAGTGTGGCAGTCAGCCTTTAATTTAAAGCAGGTCAGTTTATAGTGTAGGCTCTTAAGGGCTGTTGCTATGAGCTGGAATTGCAACTTCACATCCTTCATCTTCTGCAGAGGTTATTTGTCATCAGACATGGAGCAGTGTGGAGCCAGTGGTTTTCCTTGTGGCCTGTAATGCCTCCTACTCTCTGAAGGGACACTCAGCTCTTCTGCATGGGGGCTCTGAGTGCATTGGTCTCGAGGGGCTTCCAGAGCCTCTCTGTTCCTGAGGACTCTGTTCTCTCCAGTATTTCCTCATGTATTCCTCCCAGCTCAGTGTCACAGGCTAATAAGTGAGAGTAAGCAGAAATGGAAAAAAAAAAGGAATAATTGGATTTTGTATTCCCAGAGTGCTTTGCCTTTTTTTTTTTTTTTTATTTTTTATTTTTTTTTTGTGCTATGGTGTTTAAGCCATTGGTATCTTTATTGCTCTTCTCTACACTTTTAGTAAAACAAGATCTATTTAGGAAGCAGCTTTAGGATGGCTGATTTGATTTTCCATTTAGACTGTGGTTCTGCATAAACTTAGTGGACAATAATCACATTTGCTTCCTCCTGTGATCCTCCTCTTACTTGTGTACCAGATATTAACAGTCCTCCCTTTTCTCTTTCTGTTTTCCATAGTACATGGGCTGTATTGAAGTGCTGCAGTCAATGAGATCTCTGGACTTTGGCACACGAACACAAGTCACCAGGTAGGTGGTGTAAAACTGAGATTCAGACCAAGAATGAAAAGCCCAAGTGCTAATTTTTGTATAAAGCTGAGGGTGCGTGCCAAGCTCTGAGACAATTCTGAATAGGAGTTTGCATGTTTTGTTTTGTCTTTTCCTAAGTGATGATTTGAATTATTTGATCATTACAATAGGCTATTTGCATTGGAAAATGAATTGTTTCAGGCACAGACGTAATTTCTCTCCCAGTGCTTGCTCAGAGAGCCTCCCCCTGCAGTGGCAGCACAGAGCAGACATCCCCAGCCAGCTGGGGACCAGCAGCAGCTGGGCTGTGCACGTGGCTCAGCGCTGCCTGCACGGCTCTCCCAGGGCACGGGGGAAATCCACTGGTGCTGCTGGGCCAGGCTGGAGAGTCAGGACCCTCATGGGTCTCTCTGTCATGCCTCTTCCCACCTGATGCAGAAAGTGCCATCAGTCCCTCAATCCAGCAAGGTCATCAAGGTCATCAGATGTATGACATCGCTTGACCCCATCTGCACCAAGACCAGCCTCAGCTGGAAGTGGAATCACAAGGAAAACATGTTGAAATACAGCTGTTTCCATCTGTACTGCAAGCCTAAGTTTTTAGGCTGCAAATCAGAAAAAGATTAATGTTTCATTCTCAGATACAGCTGGGGATGTGGTTAAAACGTGAAATATTTTGTGGTCTTTTGAGAACTTTGCAACTTCTGTTGCAGGTTATTGCCAGTTTCTGGGTGTAGATTGTTAATACTCCTGTGCCTGTGGGGTGGCTGAAATGTCCTGTCAGAAATAGAAAAGCACAATTTTCTTTTTTCATTTATTCTTGTAAGTCTGGCAGTGCGGGAGTGTTTGAATTTTCAAAACAATCACCTTCTCTCCAGCTCTGAGTGCTCATGGTCCACCAGTCAGGACAAGTGTCAGGCAGCCCCAGCAGCCACTCAACAGCTTTTTGGAGAGGTGGGTGGCTGCAGGTTGTCTTCACCTGGCCTTAGACATGTTCCCTTGTCCTCTCAGCTGCTTTTCTAGCATAGTTCGTGTTGAGGATGCCAGGAGTGTGGTTGAGGCTTTCTGTGCCTGCCCAGCTCCTTCTTCCTGCTGGAGGGAGATTTTCAGATGCTGTTTTGCTTCCTCAAATTTGTATCCAAAAATTCATGGAGAAAGGAAACCAAGGTGAAGGGATTAGTGTTACATCTATACCTGCTGGCTCTCAGACTTACCAGCTGAAAGGAACAGAAAAACATGAATCCTTCAATGCCTATAGACTTCACTTGAAAGCTGTCCTGTTTGTTTTATATTCAAAACCAGCAGTTATTGACATGTACAACTGGTATAAGCACACACCCAGTTCCTGCATGTGTGTATGAAGAAGTGCCTGAGATACCAATATACTTCCCTCAGGCAGGTCCTTCACACACCAAGAAGAGCCATGTAGTACACCCAGCCCAGGCCACTGTGTTCTTCACAGCTCAGCCAGAGGGCAAGGTTATCTCCTGTTTGCAAGAGGTGTGTGTGCTGCTGTGCTAACAGAACAAAGCTTTGGCTGGTTTGTCAGGAAAATAATGAATATGAATTACTGCGTGACAAGAGCTTGCCAACTTAAATTTGGGCTAGATAGTAAGGTTTTGTTAAGCAGAACTGTGTCAAAACTTAACAATGGAAATGTTTCCATCACCTAAAAAAAATGCCACTGCTGACCTTAACGGGCTCTTTTGTGCATGAGAAATTCAAAACTTAAACTGTTTGCAAACCAAATGCTGAAGTGCTGAGCTCACACATGCAGACTTTAAAGTTCAATCGATGACAAGCTGACTGGAGCAAAGATAACATTGATTATTCCCCTATTGTTCTCTCGGGGGAGTAAGTTTATAGACACATGCACAATGCACCAACCAAGGAGCTGCTGGAAATTACCCCATTTTAACCATGCCTGTTATTTGAATTGGGGTAAAAAATATTTTTACTTTGATGGCATTTCATTAAACAAAGAGGCATCTTCTGTTTTAAAGTGATGTAGAAAGGGTCTCTAGTTATGTCTGCATCCTGCCTTGCTTTATGTGTATGTACATGCTTAGTTACCTCATGGTATCTAAAACTGAAGATACCATGATATTATTACACTGATATTATTACCTTTCTCATGAATGTTGGAAAGATCAACAAACTCTTGTTTGCCAAAGTGCAGTGAGGAGTCCAAAGGAGTTTACATGGAGAATTTACTTTCTGTTTGCTTGCTGGACTTGCATTTTCAGTTGCTTGGCAGGCACATGGTCAGGGAAGGCAGAAAGTGGCCTCTCTGGTGCTGACCATGGGATGCAGAGGTGCTGTGTGGCCAAATGACCACAGCACAGCAGGAGAAGGGCTGGGCACTGAGGTGCTTTTACCCTCGGTGGTGGGGAGAGGAGGTTGGCAGAGGAGATTCCACTGCAAGTTTTCCAGCTCTGCTGTTGCCTGCCCTTGACCTGACTTTTCTTAGGGACATCTCTCCCATTTTGCAGAAATCTGAGATCTCAAACTCCATGTAGATGACCAAAGTAACACCAAAAAATAACAGTAAGTCTAACAGGTTCTTCTGCTTGAGGGTCTTTGTATTTTTATTTTTATTTTTGTAATGGTTAACCTAATGCTTGCTGCTCTGGACACAAGACATGTTTGGGTTGTCACCCTTGTGCTGTGGCAGGTCCTGCCTTTGCTGGACCCTAATGTGCACTTCTCTTGTCCAGCCATTCAGCTCTTTTCCTCTTACACATTTCCCACTTCTGTTAAATCAAGCTGGTTATTAGTCATCAAATTTGGGCATTTCTGGGAAAAGAGATTCTGTATCTTGGATTGGGGCATTAACTTGCAAACTCAAAAATGGTCAGGCAGTGAGGGGTGAAGGGTGTCTGAAATGTGCAGCCAGGGAGGGCTGCTGGAAGAAGGCTGACTTTGTTTGGAAGATTAATTTCAACTTTGTTGAGCCACATAATCCCTTTCTGTTACATGGTGTAGGCAGGGCCCTAGATGCTTAAAAGCAAATCCTCAACAGCATGCTTGCTTGCTTACATCAGCCCATCTTTCGTCTTTTATTCTTGTTTTGGGGGAACAATAAACAAAGTGGCTCAGTGTTCCTGCCCACAGACACCCTCCCTCAGGGGCACGCTCTGGGAGCTGCAGGAGCTGTGTCTGCCACAGGTCTCACTCCAGGCTGCGGATCCAGGGAAAACCTGTGGACTGTACTTCTGAGTGGGCCTGAAAAAAATCCCAAAAAGCTGGTTTAAAGGCTTATGGATGCCAAAAATGGGTCACTCATTTTGGTTTATCATGTGTGCATCCGGAGTTTCTTTTCTTCCTAGTGTGTGGTGCAGTTTCTAGTTTGTGGAAATGACTGCATGTAAAAAGTGTTCAGTTTTAGCAGCGAGTGTTACCAAACTCCTGCTTTTCACACCTTTCAAATAATATTTGTAAAGTTTTGTTATATCACTTAGAAAATCACCCAGGAAGAATTGTCTGTACAACTATTTCCCCTACCAAAGACAGGTAATAGAAACTATTAAGTGGAAATGGTTTGCTACTTTTTGGTTTCTTTTTACTGGACAGTTGCTTCAGAGCATGGTGAAGTGGGCAGCCACCACACTGGCTTGTACAAGGACAGGCTCTGTGATTGGCAACTCTGCCTACAACTCTTGATTTCACATGGGCTGCCTGACGTGCAATAACTCATTTGTCACCAAAAGAGACAACTTCCCTGTTTTCCCGATTTGTTCTGTATCTGGTTTTCTTTCTAGGTAAGGCTAGACTTGAAGGCTCCAAGTAGCCTTAATGTCTTGGCTCTGATTTTAATTTCCTTTAATATTGAATGAGAAGATGAGTTCTCATTTTCCAAGCTGATTATTGGAATCTGCAAGATCATCCTGCAGGATGTCTTCCTCTTTTTTTTTTTTTTTTTTTGGTCATGTTTGGCCTTCCTTCTGGTAACAGCTAAATAAAACAGGAGCTAACCAAGAAGGGTATCAGAAATTTGCTTAATAAAATATATTTTCAGTTGTGTAGGGGAAGTACTTTGCTTTTAAATGCTAAGAGGGTCAGTGTTTAAAAGGCTGGGTTTCTGATCTTGTGTAACCCACAATGAGGCCCCTTTTCTTCCCTGCTGTTTTCACTCAGAAAATATCAATTATATGTTGCTGTGGGTGAGGTCTCCATTCATTTGACAGCATCCAGGTTGAATTTCTCAGTGTGTTCCCTCAGTGTGTATCACAATCTTCAGTGCTTCCAGCACGCAGCCACTGGCGTGGCAGCTGAGGGGCACTGGGCAGTGACTCTGGGGTTCACCCGCGCTGGCTGGCTTTGCTTCCTCTCTCATCTGCAGGGTCCTGGGGACCACACTCCTCACTGAGCACTCCTTCATGGGACATACCTGGCTGGAGCCTCTTGTCATTGTGTGGTCTCCTGACACTTTTCAGCCCTTCTGGACTAAATACTTCTCAGGAGGTGAAGGCCAGTGGTGTTTTCCTCCCACACACACGCTGGGATCTGGAAACAGACAAGATTTCCCGACCAGCTTGTTTCCTAATTACCTCTTTGGATAATAATTCAATAATACAAACAAACAATTAAACAAACTCCCTTCCCCTTTGGAACCAAATAAAATCCCATCTTTGGAAGGTAAATCTGAATTCAGCCACAAGAGAGAGGCTGAGAACACTACAGTCCCTGTGGGACAGGGCCAGGGCATCTGGAGACGCCAGGGCTGCGGCTCCAACCGGGATGTCCAGGCAAGGCTATGGAAACTTGCTGAGCACACCCCAGCCCATTTTCCTGTTGGCTTCAAAGCAGTAGCTATCAGTGAGGGAAAGGCTGTAGCTGCCAGCAGAAAGGTTTTGTCCCAGCAGCTGTGCTGACCTTGACCAGGGCCATCAGTGCTGTGCTGTGTGTCCAAACCAGTCACTTGCCTGAGCAAAGGCCAGAATGTGCCTTGTTCAAGTGTGGAAAACAGGCACAGCGCAGCACTCTGTTATCCTGTGTGGATTTATCTTTCATCTAGAAATGGGCACTGTGTGTGCTTTATGCCTCACCCTTCTGCTGCCTGAACTGAGAGGAACCTGCAGAGGAGAATGGGTGGCTAGAGAGAAGGTCTAGTTTGGGAAGTTCCTACCAGAGATGGAAAGATATGGATTGATAGTTCTGAAATGGAACTGGAGAAGCTGATTTTACATCCCAACCCCTCCACTGTTGTTTGGGTTATTGTGTTTTTTTGGGTTTTTTTTTGAGAAAGGGTATTGTTTTGGGTTTTCTTCTGTTGGTTTTTTTGGGGTTTTTTTTTTTGGTTTTTTTTGTTGAAAAGAAATCCCAAGCCCCAGAAAGTCAATCAGAGAACTCAGCTGGGCTCACTCAGCATGCACCTGCTGTGCTAAATAGGAAGGATTAAGCAGGGAGAAGCCCCTCCTGCCATGCAAGGGACCTATCAACCATTCTGAACAAAAGGCTTTGAAAGTATTAGGTTGCTTGTCTTCTGGTTGAAGTTTTTTTATTAAATAAATTTTCAGAAGATGAAATGGGTGGGTGTGATAAAGAAAAAAATCCAAACCAGGCTGCTGAATCACTGTATTTTGTTAAATAGTTCTTTTGCTTGTTTTTTTTCTGGGGTTGTTTTTTTGTTTTTTTTTTTTTTTTTTTTTTTTTTGTTTTTTTTAACAGTGGGAGGATCTAGGAAGGAAAAACAGCTGTGAGAGACCTTCCAGAAGATTTAAGAGTTTATAAGTGGGCCGATAACAATAAATTGCAGAGTTGCTGGCTCTGTTACAGATGGTGCATGTGAAATGATCCAATGGTTTGTGCTGTATTTTTTATTTGCAGGGAAGCAATAAGCCGACTGTGTGAAGCTGTGTCGGGTACAAATGGAGCTATAAAAAAGCGGAAGGTAAATCCTGTTTTAGCTCAGCAATTATTTTTCTATATCTGCTTTTGATAAGCTGGATACATGATTCTCTAACAGGCTTCAGTCCATGCTGGAATTAGTGCATTTTAATCCATCTGAACTCAGCCTGGATAACATGGAAGTGCTGGTAGCAGGGTGTTTAGCCTGTTTGGTCTGGGGCTGAGGCTCTGCCCTACTTTATTTTTCTCAGGATTAATGCTTTGCCCAGAGTTCCTGCTTCTACCAGCCCTTGCAGTACATGGTGCTTATAGAAGTTTTAGGCTTTGACTGCTAAACTATTGGAATTGGGTTGTTTTTTTTTTTTGGTTTGCAAGAGGGAGCTAATTCAGCATGGTGCTTTATAAGTTTTAGGCTTTGGCTGCTAAACTATTGGAATTGGGTTGGTTTTTTTTTTTGGTTTGCAAGAGGGAGCTAATTCACTGGAAGATTATCTGCTGCTTATTTATATATACAAAAAAAAATTAAACACATTAAACTAAAATGGCAGTGTGCAATGGATTTTATTAAGTGACTGGGATGCAGTGAGGGGCAACATCAGTGGTTGCTGTTGGGTTATGTCCAGCAGAACTTACAGATTTCCTTCTGTAGCTGTGGAGCTCAAGAAGAATGAACTTGCTCCTGAAAGAGGAATACATGAGAGAATTTCTTGCTTTACTCAGAAACACTTCATCCTCTGGAAACAAAGAAGAGTTCAGAAAGAAAACTGCACATTCTGAACTACTGAGCCAGCTATAACATTTAGCTCACTGGGATTTTTTTCCCCATTATTGACATAAAACCTATTCCTACCAGTATTGCATTCAGAGCTGATGTTTGTTAGAAGATCTATTTGCATTTGATCAAGCCATTATCCTTGCTCCATTGAAAGTCTCAACAAGATACCATAAAACCTCCTTGACTTTCTTATGTTTCTGCCCCTCACAGACTGGGCTGACAGCCTCTTTCTTTTCTTTCTTTGTTCAAAGCCTCCAGTGAAGTTTCTGTCTTCTGTACTTGGCAAAAGTAACCTTCAGTTTTCTGGCATGAACATAAAGCTGACCATTTCAACAAGCAGCCTCACTTTGATTAATGCTGACACGCAGCAGGTAGGATACATGTAATCAGTGTCCTTCTGTCCATGCTACAGTTTTGTCCTCATTTGTGGCTTCTGAGGAAAGGCTGTGCCTGTCAAAGGGAATGCAGCACCCTTCAGCAGACCTGTGCATGCCTGGTGAAGCTGAATTTAAAAAACACTTTGGAGGAATTGACATACAGCACAGGTCCTTTTTGTTCATGATGGTGTGTTCCATGGGGAGGGATCCTTGAGCACTTGGCAAACTGTTTCTCTGGATGTGTTTGCCTGTAAAGTGCCTAATAAACAAGGCACTAGTCCTGACTGTGGTTTCTGACAAGTCCTAGGAGGAAAAAAAAATTGATATAGGTATTAAGTCAGAGCTTGGCTTTGGTGTCATTCAAAGCTATTTTACAGCTGGATAGTACATGTGTACAATCAATTATACTGTGTAAAGACTTTAGGCTCCATTGAGGTGTGTTCCTGAGAGCCTGGGTTTGCTTGGAACTGGGCTGTGCTCCCTTCCTTCTTGGCAGATATGATAAGGATCTTTGTCTTGCCCACCTAATTCCTCCCTCAGCTGTTGGTATCACTTCCTGAGTGATCTCATCCCGGGCCAGCAGCAGGTTTGGCTCCAAGCTGGAGCAGGGGAACATCAGGGAGGTTATTTTGGCTCACTGGCTCTGAGGAATGCTGCACTGAGCTGGTGCCATGCTGAGCATCAAGGGGCTCTTAGGGGTTTGTCTGTAGTGCAGAGGTCTCCTGTCCATTGCACATCTGTTCCAGGAGGGGATTAGGATACCAGGTTTTCCTTCCTTTTGGGTACAAGAAGTCGGTGGTTGAATTAATTCTGAAGACCCTTTAAGGAAGATTACTCAGGGATCTAGACATTGCTAAACATGAATAGGTAGTGTAAAAAATATTCCTATTTTTATCTCTTTCCTTCCTAAACGATACATGCATAAATTAATAAATGGGATTGTTATGAATTTACTTGCTTGTTCTGTGTTCTGATCTCTTCTAACGTGTGGCCCAAGAGCATGTTTAATTAGCCTGTTATGCTTTTCAGATTATTGCCAACCATCATATGCAGTCCATCTCATTTGCTTCTGGAGGTGACCCAGTAAGTATTGATTTATAAAATATACTTCTGCAGGTGTAGTAAACTCATGTAATAATTGTTACCTGCAAATGCTTTGCTTCATCCTCTCCTTCCACAAGCACTAGCAGAGTACACTGCACTTCTGGATCATGAGCAATAATACAAGAAAACTGGGGGCCTGACATTGAAAAGGAAACATGGAATAGTGATTCAGTGCTTATTTAATAGATACATAGTTAACTTTCCTATTGCCCATCAGTGAGTGTCAGTCCATTCAAAAGCCCTCTGACTTGGGGATCTGAAAATAAGAATGTGAACATAGGAACTGATCAGTTCAGTGGTCCCTGTGATCCAATTCCAATACCTGTCATAAAAGCTGTCAGCACTGGCACCTCTAAATTTTTAGATTAATTTTGACTCAAGCAAACAGCTCCTATGAGACAGATGTAGCATAACCACCTTCTTCCTGCAGATAGGGCTGTTCTTCCTAGTTTCACTGCCATGCACTCATGGATGTTTTAGAGTCAGAGGGTTTTTATTCTGTTCCAGACTCTTCACTGTAATGATTGTAAGCAGCAACCCAGATTGCATCTATCTGGATTGGATAAGTAATTCCTTGGGGCTTGTTTACCTTTTTAGTGTTTTTTATATTATTATCCTGCACTGGTCTTGCACAGTGACTTCAAATTTCAGAGGCTACACAGGGCTGGGTTTGGTCAGTGCTTAATGGCAGGGTCAGCGAGAGAGGTGTGTGCACACAGATATGCTGCAGGAAATGGGCTCGGTGGAGCAGCTGCTGACACTTCCTACTGGGAGGATAATGTAAAATAGAGGCCTTGCTCATCAGTGGTAACTATAAATCTAATGGCCCTTCACAGAAGGGGCAATTTTGTTGTTTTGTTCAGGTAATTTTTTCAAAATTCCCCTTTCATTTAAAATGGGACACAGTTTCCACAGGACCTGTCTTTCCACCTGCCCCACATTCAGGGTCTAAGTGAAGTTCAGTGTTGTTCTGGGCTGTAAAGGAGTAGCAGTATTCTGCCTGATAATTAAGCCTATTCTGGCTTTATTTTAAAGCAAAATCATCCAGGCATCTACATAAATATAAAAAGACAAAAAATAGCAGGTGCCGCTCCAGTTACTTGAGTTTCTAGTCACTCCCTAGATCTGATTTATTTTAAAAAATATCTATCCTGAAATATTTATGAACTTTAAGAAAAACTTGAAAGGAAAAGGAAGGAAATTGAGTTCACTAGACACATAAGAAATATTTAGCTTGCTTTGCTTTACTGATATTAACTTTAGAGATTAAAAAAAAAAAAAAAATCTAGGCCAAGTTCTGCTGGCCATAAGACCTGCCTCTTGTGTCATTCATTGTGAATTATTAAATGATTGTTTTTGTGCATATTGCAAATGGGGCCTTGTTTCCTGCCAGCTGATTGCATCTTCTCTCAAGAGAACCATGCCTTTAAGCTGTGAATTGCATTTTCCCTGTCCCACCTTAAAGATCCAAAATAACAAAATGCATCTTTAATAATTAAAATAATGTTATTCATTACCTCACCAATTTGACTGTAACACTGAATTATCAAACCACTCTTTGCTTTTGTGGTATCATTAGAAATGTTAATTTTTCTATTCCAGTTCCCTTTTCAATTTGACTAGAAAAAGAGGATTATTTCAGTGCTGGCTAGAAAGAGAATCAGAAACAGAAAACTGATTATACTGAGGTTGTCTGATCTCAGCAGCAGCTTTGAGATCCAGAGTAATTTAACCTGATTGTAGCTAGACTAAAATTGGGCAGGAGCAATTGAGATCAGATACCCATTTTATTCTGCGTAATTTTAAAGTTTAACTTTTCTCTAAGATGCCTTCAAAACTCAGTCATATTGCTACCAATTGGGAGCACTGGAAACTCGTCCTTTGCAGTATGCTAGCACTATTTTATCTTCCAGTGATTCTGGTAGGGACTGTCCCAGCCAAAAGCTGTGAGCAGCAGTCACACAGCCCTGATGTGTTACATGGGAAAGGCTGTGAGCTCCATGGGAGCAGTGGAAGGAGCAGCACTGCCTGCTGATGAGGCAGTTGTGTTTCTACTCCTGTTGCAGAGCTGGAATTGAATACATGGTTTTCAAGACCCAAAGAATGACAAATTGTCTAGTGCATTTTTTAGAAGAAAAAGAATATGGGACAATTGCTGTGTTGATAGCCACTAGTGTGTCATTGATATTTTCCTTGGCTTACTTTGCTTGTACCTCTGGTTGTTTTTCCCTGAAAGAAATGTGCATTTTAAAGCTAAAAATGTATCTATCTGTATGCAATTGCTGTGCTGTGGTGGTAGGATTGTTCATAATTACAATATTCAAGACATTTGTTGTCTTCTTTCCTGTAGGATACAACAGACTACGTGGCATATGTAGCAAAAGACCCTGTTAATCAGAGAGGTATTGAAACAAGCTTCCAATTGTTATACGTGTTTATATGATTGCTTTATTTGTATGTAACAAAGAATTGTTTGAGTTGCAAAATAAGGAAGCTACTGAACTCAGCTCAATGCTCTGTACAATTTCTGCCTTTGCTGTATGTATAGGGGTAATAATATGCAGGCTGTGGCTTTAAATGTCATGTTCTTTGTGCAATGAAGTGGGAATCTGCAGGTCAGACTAAAGCTGTACCAGCTGCTGCCTCCATGGAGGGGTAGGAGCCTTGCTATAAGCAATATAGCTTGAGTTTCTACTTTCTGGTATAAACTGCATTTACTTAATTAAAGTAAGGTGTTTCTTTTCAGCATGCCACATCCTGGAATGTCCCAATGGGATGGCACAGGAGGTGATCAACACCATAGGGCAGGCTTTTGAGCTGCGGTTCAGACAGTACCTGAAGAACCCATCTAGCCTGGTTACATCTAATGAAAGGTCAGCACATTCTCAGTCACTTAACTGGCAGTTTCCTCCTCTTTAGTACTTTTCAGGAAAACAGTACACTACAAAGAGTGAACCATAAGTAAGATGCTTTGAATATGCTTTCTGGACATAGGATAATTCAAATGTATGCCTGTATGTGCAGTGTATAAGACACTAAAATTAGCTTACTCCAGTGAACTCCATTGATTTTTGTGACATTTGTACAGGTGCAGAACATAGAATTAAGCTGTATTGTTCCTTAGAGAAAGCAGCCTTATTTTAAGTCATGCAAGTTGAACAAATTTTCAAATTACTCTGCCCAGGTAAGTTCAGCTCTATAAATAGCAGACACACACACACACATACAGAGACTGAGCTCAGTCCTGACCTGTGCCAAGTTTAAGCTTGCTGCAGCTCTGGAAAGTGTGTGGTGGGGAAAAAAGCCATTTTGATTCACCTTTCTGCTATTCTGCTCATGTTCTGGCAGCAGCCTCAGTTTTCACCTGGCATAACTTACATCAGCCTCATGAACTGAAATAAACACAGCCACCACCTGGCATTTTAAAGTGGGAAGCCCTGTCCTCTGCACATTGCCTGAAATACAAGGCCTAGATTAGTTTCTGGACCACAATTCCCCATTTCAATTACCCTTCTTCCATTGCACTGGGGACACAATTCTTGCTCTAATTTGTGGCTCTCCTCACAGATTAGCCATGCCTATTTTTCTCAGGCTTCTTTTTACTGTAACACCAAATTTGATTGCCTGCTACTTCGCATGAGTAGGTAAAGCTGTGGCACTGCTTACCTGCACCCTGAGCACAGGAGTCCTGAGCAGGCAGTGTCACTGGAACAGGGCCTAATGCATCACAGCAGAGCTGGTTTTATTGCATAAATGCAACTTCAGTTTATATTTATTTCAATGTATATGGTGGTTCTTGCCATTCCACGGCTAAAACTGGGCTGTTTTTCCTGGGGAAAATAACCAGAGGAAAAGCCTTTTATTCCTAAGAAATCCTGCTAGGTTATGCCACAAGCAGCATAGGAGCAGGGAGAAATGGAACAGGGTAATTAGATTTCCTCCTTGAGCATAACCCACAGCCAGCCTCTGGAATGGTCCTTGGGCAGAGGAGTCGGATATTGCTGTGTGAATGAGTCACTCCCTTCCAAACAACTATGAATCACATAATCAAATACTTGCACTGCATATCACATAATCAACTACTTGAACTTTATCTCTTTCCTGCTCATGGCCTTTTATCCAATTATACTCTTGTTAATCAGAGAAGTAAGATTTGAGATGAGTTTTTTTTTATTTTGGGACCGGAGACAGTACAGGAAGCACCTAGTTGTTTTGCAGTGTATCAGCTGTACATTTAAACTATCATTATTCTGGTTTAGCTCAAAAAAAAACATTGTGTGCTCTTCTTCATGTCATTCAGTGTTCCCTTCAAGCTGAGCCAGAATATTGATTGTGGCTATTAAAATCAGGGTAAATGTCTCTGAGGACAGCTACCTTTTGGGTTTTTTTTGGGTTTTTTTGGTAGTAATATTTGATTTTCTAGAATAGTTGCAGGCTTGTCTGACTAAATGCCATGATGTTTTAATTTTTCTCTTGAAGTCTGGCCACCCCCCAGCAATCTCTAGATTTACAGAGTTCAGTCAAGAAGCCATAAGGATTAGTTTTATGGTCAGCATTTTGATACCTTAATGAACAATGTGTTGGAATTCCTAAAGTTTCAGTAGATTCCTCTTACCTTTTCTTTGACTTGAAAATATATCTGGACTGCCTGGTGCTAATGAAATGGTTGTACCTCCCTTTATCCCAAATGGCCATAACTATTTTTAATTCAGGAAGAAGTAACTGGAAGAATAAACAGCTCTGAAAGTTCCAGCCCAAAGCCCTTTACAGCCTCCATATGGTGGATTTGTGTACCGTGTGTTGTGCAGACACTGCGGATGTTTGCCTACACTAGAAAGCAATTGATTACATCAGGAGCTTCTTTTTTTTTCTCTCCATATTTTTTTCAGTGAGGCAGCAAATGCTAATGGATCAGCTGGGAATTCACAGGAGAGGGAGGATCATCATGAATATTACAACGAAATTCCAGGGAAGGAGCCTCCCACCGGTGGAGTGTTAGACATGCGGATGAAAACGCAGACAGACCCCAGGGCTAAGTGTCCTGTCCAGTGCAAAAAGCAGTATTGCTCAGTAAGTACAGCATCTGCTGGGATAAATATTCACTGCCTATTATGGGAATGAATAATAAAATGTTTCTCTGGTGTTAAAGCATGGCATTAACATCAGAACCAGGTCCTGATTATCCTGGGAAAAGGTTTTTTTAGGCTAGATTTAATGATGCTTAGTACATAATTGAATCCCAAAGCACTTTCTGAATATTAACTGGTTTGTCCTCAGAGTACTTTCAGGAGACCAAGTAATATTCCCTTGTTCACTCATTAGCTCTGAGAAGAAAATAGATACCAATTTAAATGGCTTGTTGGAGAGAACATCTGCAAAATCTGGGACCTCCTGGCTCCCTATTCTGAGATCTAATAAATATTTCATCCTGTCCATTATGCTCTACAACTTATACATACAACGTTGACTGATTGCAATATATATGCAATATTCATTACTCTTGGATTGTTTCAAGAAACTCTGTTAAATCAGCGAAAGATATCTGTGGCTCTTGTCTGGCATAGTGGGAAATAAAAACCAATCAGGGAGTAAAACAAGCCAAGCTCAGACTGGCTGCACAGATTTCAGTCTGCTGTGTGAGGCCTTGGGAGCACCATCATTTCCTCACACAGGAAAGAAGGCACCACCACTTTGCTCAGAGGGAGCACACTCAGATGTGCCTGCTGGAATCCAGTTGGCTTTGTCTAAAAACTTGCTGCTCCCAGGTGTTAGTTGTGTCTGGTGGCAACTGCTCCTGGGCTCTGTGTTCCTGTGCTACCGCTCCATCCATTTTTTGCTGACATGAACCATACTCTGCATATCAGGTCCCCACGTCCCCAACAGTTCTCCAATTCCAAAAATGTTTTACTGTGTCCAGAGTTTGCACCTGATGCTCACCAGTGTTGATGCACGGAGTTACCCTGCATGTAAATGCCAATGCCCTTTTCCCATGAGGTGTTACTTTTTGGTTTTCCTTTCTCTCTCAGTGCTGCTCAAACAATTTAGTAACCATTTCACTTTCAAACCATAATACCTGTAGTTGATTTTATGATGAGGGACACTTATTAGAAAATCTGAGCTTTCTTACCTAGGAGTTATACTGCATATATACTAAACATTAGATACATAACTGGGCAGTTATGACACTCAGGTTGGAGTCCAGATGTGACATCTAAAGAAAGAAGATTATCAGTGTGAAATGTTATTTGAGGAGATGGGAATTTTTTGGTGAAGAACATGTTTAGTTACCTGTATGTCTATTAACTAATGCATGGATGTTTTGAAGTTACCTGAGTTTTTCTAGGGTACTGCTTTATGTGACTGATTTTAAAATTTTTATACAGACAGGCAGTCCAACCTTCATCAATATATATGAAAATTGTCCAGAAGAAAACAAAACTGTGGGTATGTACTCTCTTTTCCTTCTCATGCATATGCAGAATTAACCAGGGCAGGCTGCCTGGAAGAGCTGTCCCTTGGCTTTCAATACAATGGTGAAAAGTGTTCTACTTAGTGGGTCATTTTTAGTTTCCTAGATGGAGGGCAGACAAAAAAGCCTTACAGCTTTTCTAAAGGCCACTAATCTATCTTCATGTCTGCTGGCAGACTTACTCATTTTACTTCTCATGATACTGTACAGTAGCTCTTTGTTTTTTTAATTCTCTTTCATACTCTTTGTTGTTTTATTCCCTTTCTTCATACCATTTGAAAAAGGAAGATACTTCATTACTTATCTGTCTCTGAATATATCCCTTCTCCTACAAATGCTCAATGAGATCCAAAGTATCAGCATCGGTTTTTTCCAACAGAACCTGGCCCCTTGGTTCCAGCATCCCTGGCTTCTCAGTGGGACTGTGCCCTTCCCCTGCCTTAGGCAGCTTTGTACCCAGAATCAATTTGCCTTTAGCAAAGTCTGCTCTCAGGGACCCCAGGAGATCATCAGCCTCCGTCCCTTTCTGGACTTCCTTTGCCACAGCTGATGCCCTGAGCACATTTCCTCAGCTCCTCTCTTTCACTGCACAATGAGGTCCTTTCTGAATTCCCACCTGCACGGCTCTGAAGTGATCCATTACACTGTCTGTAGGGGATGCTTCAGTTTCTTGTGTTATTTCCAATTCAAGGAAAGGAGAATCAAATGGTTTCTACAAAGAAAGGGTGAACAAATAAAAGAATGAATGAATAGATCTATGAATAAAACGTTTGTTGAAGAGCAAAAATATGCCTACTATTTGGCTAGCTGAAGTGCTATTATTTTCATACCCTGCAGGGGATATTCTGTTATCCTGTTCCTAGGCTTGGATCCTAACCTGACAGATGTGGCTTGGGCTCTCCAGGCACAGAGCCTCAAAGCACCAATCTCCTCCATCTCTCCCTTCTCCACCAGAATAGCAAGAGAGAGAATTGCTCAGCTTCCCACAAGCTCTTTTTGTGGTGTAGAGGGGAAGGAAAAGGTTTTGAAATAAATAACATGTATGGTTGGTGTTTCTGTAGAGGCATATGTATTAATTTCTTTCCAGTCTGTGGGGGGTGCACTGCTGACATTGAAGCAGAACTGGACCAGTGCAGAACATTTCTGAAAACTTCATTCTAATTACTTTTGGACCTGGTACCTTCTAGACATATGGAAAAATAAGTTCATTTGCATTTTTATTTTCCTTCTGAATTACTTTAGTGGGCTATAAAAAAGAACATCATTCCTATTTCAACATTTACAGTTACTTAAAGCTGAGTTAAAAAAAAAAAAAAAGAAATCTGTGCATACTTGCATACTATATACTAATTACAGGTAATTGTGATGAGAGATCACAGAAGACAATAAAAGAGGCAACCTCATTGAAACCTGCCTACAAAGCAGATCTCTTTGATGATCCATGTTACATCAACACCCAGTCCCTGCATTCTGCAGCCTGTGCAGCCCGAGGTCCAGCAGCAGCACAGATCCCTGGGAGCCCTCTGTGCCAGGCCAGTAGGTTCCCTTTGCCATGCCATACCTGTCTAAGCACTGCTAGGAGGGGGGCTTCTCATTTCTCTGCATGCAGAAAGATGAGGGTTTTCCATAAGAAATATAGAAAAGATGGGGGGAAGAAATCTATCCTGGTTGTTCTTTTTCCTTGTTAGATTCAAGAGAAAAGGGATTAAAGAGCAGAAACAGTGATGGTAAAAATGCAGAGTAACCTTTCATCTTCTGTAGTTCATTGATGACAATGAAGGGAGTGCCACAGGTATTGAAAAGCAAGTCTTTAGGATGATGGGAGCTTGGGACTGCACATTGCCTCAAGGAAGAGGCTTCTCCTGTATGTTCAAGGTTTTAACCACTCTAAGGTGGAAATGACCTCAGATGCCTTTGCTTCACAGGCAGTAGCATCCAAGGCTAAAGTGGGATTATTGTGACTGTCTTTTCTCATCTCTTCCATAAGTGACCATTGAATTTCATCCAATAATTTCTAAATCAAACAGTTTGACCTGTGGTATCAATTAAATGTATGTCCAAACTTGATTTATGGACTTAAAGTGGTGGATATCCGTTAAATGATTATATAGTTGCTACTGATTGTCCTCATTATTGAATATACTTTATTAGCTTTGCCTTTTATGGTTTCCCACTCAGTGTTTTCTCTGTCAGAGTTGGCTCCACACAAGAAAGTGGAAAAAGGACTGGACAATAAAGGAAACACAATAAAGAAATCTGTGACCATTGAGACATTTCCAACTTGGGACTGCCTCATGCTCTAAAAGGAACTGCCTATATCCTGAGGAGTCTTAGGTTGCACAATTCCATTGAAGAAGTGGTATCCCCTCATATTTTCCTTAGAAGAATCCTGCCTGTGAATCATTTGCAGTCTGACTGGCTATATCCCAAACCACCCAGTTTTTTTAGTACATTTGGTAATTGTTTGTTTTTTAACAGCAAATGCATCATGCTGTAATCCTTCCCTTCTGGCTACATTGGCTATGTTGTCTTACATTCCTGCACATAGCTGGAGCCACTCAACATGACTCTCCCAATGATCTGTGACAATCTCTTCAGAGCTTGTTAAGGAAGAAGGAAAAACAAGATCTTGAGGGGGAAAAAAAAAAAAAGCGCTAAAAAGCCAACAAAAATCTTGTCATTACAGGGAAGATTTGACTTTTTCATACAAAGAAATGTAACCCCAAACTAGTACAGCATCAGAAAAATTCCTCTTTCTAATCCCTGTTGCCTAGCGACCAAAGGCTTTCCCATCTAAGGTAGGGGAAGAGGTGGTGTGATAATTTTGCCTAATGCACTGGAGGGTCATGAGCATTCATGTGTGCATATTCTTACAGTCTGTAAGGTTGGTTTGCTTCAAGACTGAATTGTTTGAATTTTTTAAAAGCTATTAAAGATATTGGCTTGCATCCTTTTAGGATGAAGTTTTAGGTGAAGTGTCCAATACATTCCCTTTCATTTAATTTTAGAGTTACCGGAACCTGTTCAGCAGAGTGCCACAAGCAACACAGCTGGTCTCTGTGTTCTGCCACAAATAAAGCAACAGCTAAAGAATGAAGATTGTTACCATGGCAAATTGAACAGGAAAGCAGCAGAGAGCCTCTTAGTCAATGATGGGGATTTTCTGGTACGAGAAAGCACAACGTCACCTGGTCAGTATGTCCTCAGTGGACTTCAGGGAGGGCAGGCAAAGCATCTACTCTTGGTGGATCCTGAGGGCAAGGTATGAATATTTCATATAATGAAATTTCAGTGCTGCTCAGATATTTCAATCAAAATGCATGGGTGCATTCCATGAAGTGAAAGTGATTTGATTCTATCCAGGTTAATTTAAATATAGCCAGTGGCTACAGTAGGTTTGAAAGTTCAAAAACTCGTAAACACTGAAGTACTGTGGAAGTAGCAGTGAGGAACTTAAATACTGTTAGTCCAGGTGCTGATAATTAGTGTATACACTTAACACATCCTGAGAACAGTTAGTGTTAGAAAAAAATAACCCTATCTTTAATTATGAATTTCTGGATACAAAAAAGGTTTGTTGTTACTTCAATTCTACTTTCTTCTTCTCAGAAGAGCAGTCTTGAGTGACATTTCTGAGGAGAGAGTAAATCAAAAAAGTAATCCTCGATGGGATTTAGGGAAAAATATCTCTTTTCTGTGGAGAAAAATAAAAGGTTATTTCTTTCCCCTGTGCATAATCAGCCCTGTTTGACATACAATCTTTTTACTTTACCACTACTTTTCTTGTGAGCTAATGGTGGGCCAAAGGATAGATCTGAATTGCTGTCTACAGCCTAATGATCCTGCTCAAGTGAGTTCAGTGGTTTAAGCTTCTTTTGATTTTAATGTGTTAGCCTCTTGTCCAGCTGGTTATAAGAACAATCTAACTTTAAATATATTCTTTTGCTCCTTCCACTAGGTGAGAACCAAAGATCATATATTTGATAGTGTGGGTCATCTTATTCAGTATCACATGGAAAATAATTTGCCAATCATCTCTTCTGGAAGTGAAGTGAGCTTGAAGCAGCCTGTAAGGAAAGAGAGTAATACGGGACATATGCAGTATCACAAATAATCACTTGGATCTCACAAATCCCAAGACAATTCATACCTGAACTATCTATTATGAAGACAAGTCAAAAAAGTATAGACTGCACTTTCTGCTGCTGTTCCAGAAGAAGCTCTTTTGTGTGTGTATGTATGAATATATGTATATGTGTATATCTATGTAGATCTATAGAGATCAACAAGCATAGTTATATAGATACATATAATCTTAATCTTAACAAAATTACACCTTCAGAGTGTGAGATTCATTTGTGAGAAGGTATTTTAGACATGCACAAATGTCACTTTCAAGGTCATACTGAATCAGTAACTATTTAAAAGCACAATTAAAACTCTAGATACAAAAGCTCACTTGAAAGAACTGCTGGAACATTAGTATGTGCCTTTTAGCATAGAATTATTGAAACCAATATTATTTATACTGAATTAGTTTTGGGTGGTTAAACAAACATGTCTATGCTTTTAACTATTTGCCAAAAACAAGTACAATTTGAATATTACTAAAATGTCATCTTCTTTCAATAGACACTAACAATTTCATTTTGCTTGTAACAGCACTTTACTAGCAAGTAATGTTTGAAATGAATGGCATTCACAATACAGAAAGGTTGTCCGGTTTCTTAATAATTTTTTGTCACTGTCTGACTACTCAGATTTGAGATTATGAACATTTACAAAGTTGAAATTAATATATGTAATATAATTTTGGAATAGAACTTGTTAAGGGACAAGCATGTTAGATCTTAATATTTTTGTCTTGCATATGATTTTACTATTATCACTTAATACTGGAAACATCTTTTTAAAGGTAGGCTGAATATATTTTCATTGATTACATAGTTGTTTACAAACTAGAAAAGCTGAACAAAACTAATGATACATTTTGGGAGAAAACTATTTAAAAGATGTTTGAACTTTGCATGTGTCCTTAGTCAGTGTTCTTTCCAAAACAAGATAGTTTTCCCCTCTTCACATAGAGTCCATTTGTTCCTAAACATGGAAAAATCTTTTAAAAGAAATCTATTAATTGTTTTGCCACAATAAATACTCTAAACATGAACAATCTTATATTCAGAGTGAACAGTGATTTATTTGGCTTCCTGCTGAAGAAACAGTGACTTAATAAGTGACTGAAGAAAGGCAGGGGAGATTTGGGGAATGAACTGGTAGTCCAGGTGATGGCCTGAGGGAAATGGTGCATTTAAGACAAGCAATGTCCTCTGGCATGAACAGACATAATTCTCTGTCTCCCAGCCCACCGGCTCAGTTCCTAAGGCAGACAATTGTTGTGGAGTTCAGCAGTTGCTGGAAATCTTCAACATAAAAGAATACATTCTGTTTGTTTGCCAGTGTTCATGGTAAATGGAACACTGTAGTATGAGCTCTTTCCTCTAGAAAACACGAGGAGAGAGGTCTTATAAAAGTACGGAAGACAAACTTCCTTGGAGGGGAAAATGTCATGTAAAGAGCCACGCTTAGAACCTACTAGAAAACACTTTTATTTTTATCCTCAGCTAATAGCCACAAAAATACATTTCATTCTTTGACAATAATATGATTAAACTATTCAATTACATATACTGAAGCAGTGAGAAGGTTTAAAACATTAGTAGTTGATTTCCTTGCTAATAGTCTGGCATTTTTGATACCCTGAGCCTTCAGGGCTAGCAGCCCAAACTCATGCCCATTCTATCCTAAGCAAGGTGCTCACCTGTGAAGGCCTCCAGCAAGAGCTCATGCTGGAGCTTTGTGCCACAGCAAGAAGCAGTAACTGGGATATCAACCCCCTGCAGAATATCCTTTCTGTTCTCACATCTTGTCCAACTTCAGAATGTGTTTGATATGACCATGGAGCAAGCAAGGAAGCAAGCCCAGCTACTTCTGTGGCATGTCAAGAGAGAAAGACCTGCTGTTTTGATTTTTGCATCAAAGCTGAGTTTTGTGATAGGTCATAGAAGGAAAATGTGCAGAACTCCACCTCTATTTTTAGTACAAATCAAAGTTACTCAGGACTTAAATAAAAGCATTTGAAGCTGTGATAGTATGAGATCAAAGTTTCTTGACTTTGCCAGTCAAGATGCTGACTCGGGGACTTTTTTCACTTCATCAGTTTTCACTTAAGCAGTGAATAAGATCAGCCAGAGCCAGTGTGTGATATATATCACAGTATAATGCAGTGTCTCTCTCTTTGAATATTACCAATGTAAAACGTTTAAAAGACCTGGATCTTTGTTCTGATGCTCCTGCATATTTTTTATGTGTCTGAAGCAGAACTGTGAAGTAAAAAGGAAGGAAAGGGAGCTAACTGTGTGCTAGAGCAATAGAAAAAGTATATCAAAATCTTTTGATGTGGGAGAAAGCAGATAATCCAACTAATTACAGATAAAAATCAAACACAACACATCCATGCATTTTCCTAGAATAAACTACATTCATTCTCAGTTTTTGGTTTCTAGCATTTACATGCCTTCATTTAAGCTATTAATGCTGCTTTGTGGCCCAGCTGTCTCACGTAAAATACACTGTCAGCTCCTCCGTGGAAATCTTAGGAATAATCATGCTAAAAAGAAAAATAGTTGTTTGAATTTTGGAAAGTTTCCTAAATATTGTTCTTGAGAAACTCCGTATGAATTGTCAGACACATTTAAACCCTTTTTGTTCTTGTTTGAATAATTTAATTCCTGTAATTATTATGAGAATTGATTAACCTCTGTTCGATGGTTACTCTGGGAAAACTGGCTGATTTTGCCTATTATGTCACGCATTTACTAGACACAGCTTGTTCGTTCCTTTTCAAACTTGTATAAATTTCACTGAAACACATGAACTGTTTGCTCCCATCAATAAAAATCCTCTAACAATGACCCAAACGTCTGTGCCCCGCGGTCCTTTCCCGCTGTCGGGGCTGAGGGCGAGGCACCAGGTGGGGGTGTTACAAACGGATCCAACTCTCCGTCAAAATTGCTTCCTGCCCACGACTCCGCGCAATCAATCTGCTCCTTCTGAGGAGGTTTTAATTTTTTTAAGAGAATGAGGTCGGGAAGCAGAGCGGATCCCGAGCAGCCAAGCGAAGGCTGCCTGGGGAAGGGCTCGGGCAGGAGCGGTGACCGCGCATGCCCTCAGCGCCATCGTGACACTGCCGCGAGGCGCGGCTCGCGGCCCCGTGACGTCACCCCGCGGCCGCGCGTTGCCAGGTGACCGCCACGTCCCGCTGCGAGATGGCGCCGCTGCCCGCCCGCGGAGACCCCGCCCCTCCACGAAACTCTCGTTGCCATTAGTGGCCAGCTCAGCCAATCAGCTCGCCAGGCACGTTCCCGCGACCATGCGCGCCTGCTTTCAAACAATCAGTGGGGGAGGGCCTGCCCTCCCGCGCTGCTGGGCGGGCCCTGGCCGCTGATTGGTGACCAGGGCTGTCAGTCAGGGTGGCTCTGGGCGGTTCTGGCCGCGGGTTGGTTCCCGGGGCTGTCAATCAGCGCGGCGGGCGCGGGCCGGCTGTGATGCGGAAGAGCGGCGGGCCCGTCCCGGTGGTGGCTGTGAGGGCGGGTGGCCAGGGCGCCTCAGGTGGGTTTCGCTGCTCGGGCCGCGCTTTGCCGCCGTCTGCGGCCCTGGGGGCCCCGCGGGAGGTGCGCTGAATAACGGCAGCATCGCCCCGCGCCGCCGTCGGAGCGGACTGAGGTGGCGGCGCCGAGCTCGCCCCGTGCCCCTGGAGCTGCCCCCGGCCCGTCCAGGTCCGGCTCCCGGGGCCGGTCGCGGCTCTGGCGGCTGCGCACTCTCCAGCGGCTGCCTTCGCTGCCGGGGCTGCGGAGGGCTCTAAGGAAGGGGGACAGGGCCGGTGGTCGTGTTCAGCCGGTGCGGTGTGGGGGAAGCGGGAGCCTCGTGTGAGAGGGGTCACGGGGGGTGCGCAGAGACAGCGGCTGCGTTGTGGGGCCTCCTGCCAGCCCTGTTAGAGCGTCCTTGAACAGCAGTGTGAAAGAGGGTCCTTTAAACGTGACGAAGTGACTTTAAACTTGGAATTAATGCTCTTGTAGTGTTACGTTATACCAAGTGAGGACTTCAGTACGTGCTACACCTGTGTGCCAACAAGTTTCCCTTCAACAGGGAGTAACTTATCTTGTAACCAAACCTGGACCAGCACTCACAAACAGCAGCTTTCTGTGAGCACACTGCTCAGTGTACACAGTTCCTTGGGAGTCAAGACTCTGTTAAGCTGTGAAATCTGCAACTCATGTGATCCTTTTCAGATTTTTGGGATACTTTTCCTATTTTTCGTTTTGGGGCTGTTATACAGCATACTTTCAGTTTTTAATACAAAATGTAATTATTCCCTAGAAGACTACCAAGCAAGATGCAAAAGTGGACATAACTATCATGTATCACATCATGTGTACACTGTACATTACTGGAACTTGCAGAAAATAATGTCTGGTTGTAAGTGAACTTCAGAAGTTATATTATGTCAGCCTATGAAAAACCCAAATACTTGTTTTAAGTGCTAAATTTTTGCAAGTGAGTAGGCTTGGATATATGAGAAACAAATACTGTGCAATGACTGTTTCAAGAATTGTATTTTCATGCTAAGTAATTCAGGTGATGAGGGTGGTGCTTTTTGATTCCTCATGTATTTTACTCAGGTGTGATGTTTTCCTGTCCTGTGGTAGGTTTTGCTGGATACGCAAAATCAATATTAGAAAACAATGTCCCTTGACTTTGATAGTGGAGCTCTACAAACTCAACATGAAGATGAAGACTATGACCAAGAAGATTATGCAAGAGAACAAGAGGTGAAAAATAATTAAGTAATTTAATCTGAAGGCTTGTGAGTTTAGCTTCTTCCTGTCTTTTAAGCACATAAAAAAAAAGAAAAAGGTTTATGTAGTCTGGTAGGAGCAAAGAGGGTGCAGACTGTGCCGCTCTTGAAAAGCATAAGAAGTGAAGTTGGGGTGGGTTTTAGTTGTTTGTTTGTGTCCAGTTGCTTGGTCCAGAGCAGAGCACTAATCATTGCAGTGATGACTTCTTGAAGGTAGTGATACTGGCTGGCAAGTTCTTAAGTGGATTTCTATCCAGGCTTCTCAGAAAGAGCAGGTTTTGAATGCCTACTGCCTCTCTAGCCTGGAGTTCAGAGAGGAGAAATTCTGGCATCATCAATTTGCAGATGATTCTTTGAAATTAGTCTGTCCTGGGACATGTCTGCTAGATGGCATTTCCCTTACCTCTTTCTGGTGCAGCTCTTCTCTTAACAAGAATTTCGCAGAAAAATGCTTTGGTTGGTAGTCTAGTCTAGTAAGCATTCTGTGGTACAAGTCTCTTTGTGAATTCCAGTGTTGTGAATTCTTCCTTGGAGGAAGAAAACCAGGATTTTGTGCAAGTGGCCTACTTTGCCAGTGGTTTTGGGCTGAACTTGTATTAATTTTCCTGAAGAGCATATAATGAATGTTGTTTGTTCTATTTCAGTTGCAACAATTGTTGACAGACCTTCCCCATGATATGCTGGAGGACAGTGGAGACCAGCTCTCCAGTTACTCAGACTGTAGCATTCAGGAGACTGAGGAGCAGTAAGGCATTTGGCAACATCTTTTTATTATTTATGTTGTGCTTTCAAGAATAAAGCAAAGTCTGAGTTGATGAGGTGTGTAAAAGTAATCCAAGTAAAAGGGGAGCTGTAGTGCAATTTGCAGTAAACTAGATATGCCTTAATTTAAAAAAAAAGGTTTGTTTTTTCCTTGAAGTTATTAGTGCATAGTTAAGCTGCTTGTGTCTCTCTAGGTCACGTGAGCCTGGGAAGCTTGATGGAAGGTGGAATGATCATCCATTGATCAGTGATCCTCCAAATGTAAGCTTGTATGAGCAGGAATGTAATTGCTGCTTGTTCATAATAACATGCTAAATACTGTTTAAATTAATTAGAGAAATCCGTGTAGGTGATGTGTTTTGGTATTCATTTGAAGTATTTCTAATTTGAGGGCTGGTAACCTCAGGAAAAAAGAGGGTG